TTTTTTTTTCTATACAACCCCAGAAAAGAAGTCATTCGTCAGTTTTATCATTGAAATGTCAGAAATTGCATGCTGCGTTTTTTAGGGCCTCACGCAAGCAAAAGCAGCTCGAGTGTTGGCCAGGGATGGACCGAATGCACTTTCGCCACCTCGAACTACTCCGGAATGGGTGAAGTTTTGCAAAAATCTATTCGGCGGATTTGCGCTACTGCTTTGGGTCGGTGCATTCTTGTGCTATGTTGCCTATGCGGTCGATTACTTCAGCATGGAATATCCAACCAAGGATAACGTAAGCCCTCTGTATTACAATATTTTTTCTAATCATTGTTGCAACAAAAAATCATCATGACAAGATCATTTTTGCATGCTTACATGTGGGCTTCAAATCCAGAATTATGAGAACTAGAAAGTTGAAATTCCTCGAAAACTAGAGAGCTGAAATTTTATGAAAGCTAGAAAGTTAAAATTTTACGAAAGCTTCAAAGCTGAGACACATAATTCTCTGTCATTTACGACTCAAATTTGCACCATCCTCCCTCGGCATAATTTGTTTTATCATATTTTCGTATCTTTCGTTTCATAAATGATCATGTTTCGCTTGAAAAAATGAACTGTCTACTGCTACCTTCTTTTTTTAAAAAACAAGTAATAGCTTCCATTAGAAATCTATGTCCGCAACTTCGAGTAATGCAGGTTTTACATTAAGGAAGTTATCATTTCAGCTGTACCTGGGCATTGTACTCATGACTGTTGTTGTGATCACTGGCTGCTTCCAGTACTATCAGGAAAGTAAAAGTTCCAAAATCATGGAATCGTTTAAGAATCTCGTCCCAACCGTGAGTTTACTTCAGATCAACTGAGTTTACTTCAAATCAATCGACTTGGCGAATTAAAAGTGCTCCATTTTACGAAGTACCACAGTGATTCCTTATAATAAGCCATTTGCATGACATCCCAACTGAGCAATTTTACAGTACGCTTTGGTACATCGTGATGGCGAGAAGCAGCAGGTGCATACGGAAGAGCTGGTAGTAGGCGATATTGTTGAAGTGAAAGGTGGTGATCGTGTTCCTGCAGATCTTCGTATCATCTCGGCTTCTGGATTCAAGGTTCTCCTATGCAGATTTCAAGAATCTTGAAAAATCTGCTCTCAGAACGATGTTTGCCAAAAATTTGCATAACCAATTTTGCATAACTATTAAAGCCGATGTATTGGTTTTGAGTGTTGCATATATTAATGAACAAATCGGAGAACGGTCTCTGTTCCATCCTTTAGTAGTAAGCATTGGCAAAGCCGTATGTACTTAAAATGTTCTCACATATTACGCGTTTTTGCTATAAGATTTGATAGGTAGATGGATCGGTCAGTACACGCGGGAGCTTTTTATCATAAACTGATTTTGGTAAGCTTATGAATTGCCGCAAAATTAAACATTCGTATAACCAGTGTTTAATTTATAAATCTGTACGTATGTGCGAGTTAGTCGCTTAGCGTGTTATGAACTTCAAAGACAACTCAAGTCATCCAGACGAGTGAACTAAACCCGCAATATTTCCAGTTTTCGAGACTTTCATCTTCAAATACTTGTATCAACTCGAATTTGAACCAAAGGACGTTCGGACCAAATCGAGAAAAACAGGGAGGAACCAAGCTGATGGCCGTGTTTGATATAAGAGGAAAAAAAAAGACTATTTCTTTTTCTAGGTTGACAACTCGTCGCTTACTGGAGAATCGGAACCACAGTCGCGCTCCCCGGAATGCACCAATGAAAATCCACTGGAAACCAAAAACATCGCTTTCTTCTCGACACATGCCGTGGAAGGGTCGTGCAAAGGCATCGTCATATACACCGGTGATCGAACTGTAAGCATTTTCAGTTTTATTAGGGTCATTGCTTGCTCTACTTTCAGCGGTTAGAAGAATGTATCAGTGAGTTTTGGCAGTTGCAAAGGTGAAAATGCTTAGATAGATTCGTGAGAGATAGGCGCGCGTATGCTGTGAAAAAGGTGTGAAGTAGCATTTTATTGTACTTCAGTAATATCAAAACTTTACACCGAGCATCATAGGAGACCTGGATGTGTTCAAACGACCATATTTGGGGTTTTTTTTTACAGGTGATGGGTCGAATTGCGCATCTTGCCTCAGGGTTGGACACCGGCAAAACACCGATAGCACGTGAGATCGAACATTTCATCCATTTGATCACCGGCGTTGCTATATTCCTTGGCGTCACATTCTTCATTATTGCTTTCGTATTGGGATATCACTGGCTTACAGCAGTCGTCTTCTTAATCGGTTCGTTTTGTTACGGCGTTTGTAGCTGCCCTGTAGGAG